TGCATGGCTAATATTTTAGTTGTGTCATCAGGAGAAAGATTTCATTTAACTCCTGGGCAAAAACATTATGAATTCATTTTCATATATGGACAATTGAGGTTTAGGACTTTGGCAGAATTATGTTGCACCATGAGTCAATGGCAAATTACAAATATGGTGACCCATAGCCCCAGGTTTAAGCAATTTATATTTAAGGACATGCAATGTGAATTGTGTTAGAACCTAGTTACTTTCTAGATTACAGAATGTGAATTTACCAGAACACTGAATATGTGGCACATGTAAACTGCAGAAGGTTTGAAATATTTGCTATTAATGAAGGCAGGAAAATAGAGAATAACAAGAAATGGTAGGGCATGTCAATCATCATTAGTCTGACTTTTAGTCCGCTCACTTCATTCTGAAGTCTTCAGCTGCCAGTCTTGCATTGTCGATCTGCAAGATGAGCTGGGCATTTCCCATGCTGGCAGAAATGATCTGGCAAAATAGGCAAAGACATAATATGAGGTTGTAAACTCTTAGTATTAGGCAAACTATATTATAATATATTATTATATCTATGACAGGAAATTTTTAGGTGACGTTAATATATTATATCTTTGATGAAATTTTTAGGTGTCTAAGGCAGTTTAACTTTTTAAAAAGAAATTTTATTTATAATACATTATTTAAAAATTAAGAAACATGCATTTCCTACGGACAGGTAGTGGAAATCCAGTCACTTTAGGGTAAATGTTAAAACAAAGCTAAATATCTTGAGATAAGGAACTGTTCCAAATATAGTCAACTTGAAACATATCTAAGTTTTAGGTGATTTATCCCTGTAAAATACTGTCATAGCAAAAAAGAAAACTAAAAAATAACTCCCAAAGCCTCTCCAAAATACATATTGTTACCTTATTCCTCAGGTCTTCAATCAAAGGATAATATTTATTGTAGTCATTCTGTGACCCAGGGTCTTCAGTTCCAGATACTTGTGTTTCATACCATTCTCGAATTTTGTTTTCTAGCTCAGTATTAGCCTCTTCCAGAGCTCGAACCTTATCCAGGTAGGAAGCCAATCTATCATTAAGATTTTGCATGGTTTCCTTTTCTGATCCAGAAAGAAGGCCTCCATCATTGCCAGACAGGATACCTGGAGAGCCACCTGTTGGGCATCCCCCATATCCAATCCCCAGGCCTCCAAAGCCACCTGCCAGGACTCCCCCGTAAGCTGAGCCCAGTGCTCCAACAAAGGAACTTGCAGAGCCTCCCCCAAAGCCAGAACCAGCACCAAACATGGAAGCAGCTGAAAAGCCTCCGCCATAGCTGCCTCCAAAGCCAAAGGCCCTTCCCGTACAAGCACTTCCAACACTGGAAACGGATGTGCCCCTGGCTTGGCCTGATGTCCCACTCTGCGAAGACGGCCATCGGGGCAGCCCAGAGGTGCACGCTGAGAGTGACATGGTGCTGCTGGAGGAAGCCAGAGCCCAGCGAAGTTGGCAACAACCCGGGAAGGAGCCGTGTTGCAAGGCAGAAAGGTTAACCTTTTATAGGCCATGACATGGGTGTTGCAGTGGAAAAGTTCACTCAGCCCATTCAAAATGTAGTGCCCCCCACCCCCCTGCCCTTTTTGGCTAACCCAACAAGTAAATGACTTATGCACACTGACAATTCATTGGTACAGAAATAATTGAATAATTGTGCCCATTACACATTTGTTACACAAAAAAGAAATCTGGGTGGAGTAGAGATAGGCTGTCATAAGGAATTTTTTCTCATCCCGATTATTCTATTGCTTGTATGCTCAGCACTGCCAGTGTCTTATGCACAGTTGGAAAGCAATGACTGATCGTTGAATGGATAAATTAATGAATAGTTCTTCCTAAACGTTAAGCTTCTTAATGTTCTTCACTCATGTTTTCCATTTCTTTCCTTTAGAAAACTCAATATAAACCATTTGATCATGGTCTAGTCTATCTTCTAGTGGAACATAGTTTCTGAAGCAGTTGTGACATGCACTGGTGGAAGGTGTGGAATAAATGCATTTTTCAGATTGATACTGGAATTTGAATTTGCAAGGATTTTAAAATCTTGTTATTAGGATGTTGCATGGTGCCTTTTTTTTTTTATTCAGAAAGACCTCTAAAACACTGAAAATTCTATTTTTGAGCAGTATTTTCAACGATCTTCCTTTACATTAAAAATTACCTTCTTTGTAAACTGCATGAGAAAGACCCTCGTCTGATTGTTTACTACAGTGTATCAAGATACAATAGATTTTTTGTATGTTGAAATTGTATTGGCGCTTGCACCCTCAACCCCTGCCTCTTGAGAGATCCAGATATTATCTGTCCTGACTCGAGTCTCTCAGGGGGTGAGGTTCTTCAAACCTGTGAACAGGGCTGAGCCAGAGACAGCAGTTGCCACGTGATTTCAGGACAAATGCAGAGGTTACACCCGAAACCCATGTCAAACCTCTACTGGAAATACCCATGATCAGTTCTGGCAAATGGAGGGACTGTGTGATCCTTTTTATTACTTGCCAGGGGCAGGAATGATGAACCCAGGGTGAAATCTAATTGCAACTTTTTACCCTATTGTAGAAGGGACATGTTTTCCCCAACCTATACACATCACTAAAAAACAAGCAAGTGGAATTTCTAAATAAAGGGGTTTTAAGCAAGAGATTCACAGAAGTTCTCATAGATTCACATTAGATACAGGAAGGATGCAGCAATCTCATGCAGAACCAGCTTCATGAGAGAGGCCACATCCACTTGTTTCATTTCTTGAGAGAATGGAAACTTGTTAAGTGGGAATGCCAGGGTCCTCAGCCTTAAGGAGGTTTTTAACAAGGATTCCTTTAATCTGTAGTAAAAGTTTCTGTCTGAGCTTGCCCTTGTATGAATCATTAATAGTTATTGTGTACTTATTATTTCTGGACACTGGGCTAGGTGAACTATACACATTTATTTAAAAAAGAGTATTATTTTTAAATGACGTACAGTTGATATACAATATTAGTTTCAGGTCTACAACATAGCGATTCAACAATTATATACATTAAAAAGTGCTCACCATGTGGTAAGTGTAGTTACCATCTGTCACCATACAAAGTTATTACAGTATTATTGACTGTATTTCGTAGGCTGTACTTTTCATCCCCGTGACTTATTTATTTTATAATTGGAAGTTTGTACCCCTTAATCTCCTTAACCCAGCCCCCATCCCCTCTGCCAACCACCAGTTTGTTCTCTGTATTTATGAATCTGTTTGTTAAGTTTATTAGATACCAGATATAAGTGAAATCATAGGGTACTTGTCTCCAGACATTATTTTTAAACTTTGTGACAGCCTCTTAAGGTGGATACTTTTATTATATTTTATAGAAGAGCAATGTGAGGGTCAGGATATTAAATGACTTATTCAAGGCCGCCCAACCAGGAGGTGGCCAAGATAAGATTCAGTTCTGCAGTACTTTCTATGGACAACACAACCTTGCTGCTTCCAGTGAAAACAAAACTGACAGAGTCACTCTAATTCCCTGATTGTGAGACTGGGCTTCTGTCCTGCACATCAATCAGGGGCTTTAGCAATTTCCTTTTCAAAGAAGCTTTCTCTTTGAATTTCATTTCTCAATATACAGGCTGAAACCCAGAGATCCCCTCTTTATTGCCTATAATAAATGAAACTATACACAAAATTCTCTAAACACATAGGCAAATTATTTTTAGTTATGCCTCTGCCATGTAACTGTATCTCCAGAGATTGTATAAAGCACTAGTTAAACTTGTACCTCCCGCACAAGAACTTGACCTTACGTTTGTTAATTATTGGTCAAGCGGTGTCCCTCCCAAGGCAAAGGGATTCCACTATTAATGCCAGAGAAGTGAAAACAGGCTATTACTTGCTTATGGAGTCAGAATTATGGAATGTGCCAAATTCAGAATTGCAACTTAGTGATATGACCACATAATATGGGAATGTGATTAACTTAAATTTTTGAACTTGGAATCTATTTTGTGCTGAAATGCATACTTTCCAGCTTTAATGCCTTTATGTAAATTTTAAGTAATTTTGCTCAATAATTTTGTTTACACATCATACCTTTATATTTCTATACATGTTGTATATTATCCTCGACTGTAAGCTTCTCAGATGTGGACTATGTCTAATTCATGTTTTATCCTGAGTCTTAGCTTAGTCTTTGGCTAAACTTCATCCTTGCACTTCTGAAGTTACTTCACTTGAACTGAATGAATCCTTCATATGTTGGAAAGTGTCATTTAAAACTCATTTCATTTGAAAATGATTTTGCTTTAATTTACTGCTATGCTTTGACCAAGGTTTATTCTGAATCCAGTCATGAATAGGGAGCAGCTTCCAGAAGTTGAGAAGATAAATATTTCTTCTTCAGTGGCTTTTTTTTTAGTGGGAGGGAGGGCTAAGTTAAATAGATCGAGCCTCTGTTTTAGAGTTTTTACAAGTGAAAATAATTTTTTATGACAGCTGTAAGAATATAAAGGAGAAGGGAATGTATCAAATGGAAACAATCTTGGGCTTGGTTGCAAAGTGGTTATGTAAGTTGAAGCACCAAAGAAAATGACTAAAACCAGGGTGAACTGTTCAAAAGAAGCATGTCTTCCATTTTTGTGGAATTTAGGGAGTACTCAAAATGAAGACAGTCATTTATGTGGTATTTGTAAACCTTTAGATTTTTATTAACATGTGCTCCTTTTATCATGCTAGGTTGTTTAGTTTCCTGGTCTTTGCGGGATTTTCCACCTACTTTCTGCAATTCACTGAAAACTTGGTCCATGACACCTTTCCCTTTGCTTTAAATAGCTTCTTAAGAGCCTGTGAGTGAGTGAAAGAATTTTGGGTTACGGATGTTTCCTGCTGTGCTTTTGGGATGGGGATGAACAAGCACTGCGGGGGTCATGCTTAAGGATGAGCTCCGGACTTCAGAGCTCAGGGGCTCTTAGAAGCAGGGGAATCTTGTATGTAATGAGAGAGAGGAGGAGGAAGAGAAAATAATATCCATATAAGGGGAATCTTGGAGGAGTCTTGGGGAGAGAAAACAGATATTTGAAGTGAAATTTAAAAAACAGAAATCATTAACCAACACTTGAAGTTGGAATTGTTATTTGAGGGTGCAGTTACCTGAGACTGCCCCCAAGTTAGTAAGGGTGAAAGCAGGAGGTGTCCTCTAGTCAGGTTTTGATTTTATATGATTCCAGTCATAATTTTTTTTAGATGTAAGGCTTTGTGTAGAAGTAATCCCCAAAGCCCAGAAAATAACAGTTCTATCCTAACCTCACCTTTAGTCATGAAATATGTTGACGACGATTCTAATGGGTGATAAAGAGACCTATATTTAAGGACTGCGGATCTTCTGTGGGTCTCTATGCTTATTAGAAATAGGATTGTGCTGTTCTGTTTTTTAGCTTATAGAAGAAGTATAGATAGATATGAAGACTGACACTTCACTTTCACACAGTAACTGTTGGTAGAAGTGGAGGTAGAACCATCTGGTTCCACATGCATGTACGGTCTCACTTTCTTTGAAAGATTACTTGGAAGAAACCAGAGATAGACCAAAAGGCAAGGATTCATTTTCATTTTTATGACAGGAAATTCAGGTAAAAACAATAATCCTACCTTTTTTAACAAAGCGTCATTATTGCCATATGATAATGGTCATGCTTAGTAAATTTCAGACCCATCTCTTGTAGGATTTTTATTAATCAGACTCATAGTCTCTGGTATTTGCATGTCAGAGTTTCAGACTATTCTGGAATGTGTCTTGGCAGATGCAAAAGAATTCATTTCTGAAAGTTTTTAACATCTTTAAAAGCAAATTACTTAACTTGAGTGACTTGGAAGGAAATTAAGAAAAAAGCGAGAGTGAAACTGCTTCATTTCTTTGAAAAGCAAAGGCATGAGAATGGGTGAAAATAATCTTTTCTGACAAAAGTTGTGCTGAGTCCAGTTTTGTGTGTGATGTTAGCTGGACACTTGTGACAGTTGGGTGTTTTTAAGTGTCTGGCTAGTGAAAATGATAGAAAACAACAAAACAACTAAGTATAGGCAGATGTTCATTTTGGTGTGACTCAGCACTTGTTTTTGTATAATTAGCTGCTTAAAAGGGTATCATGACTTTAGACAAGCAGCCCTGAGGCTCAGTCTCGTTCCATTACTTGGAAACTGTGACTTTGGGGAAGTACTTATTTCATGTCTTCCTATATAATCCTGATTTGTTCTCACATATGTAAACTGGGGTCAAGCCACATGAAATTGCTATTTTTGAAGATCAAAAATAATCACATATTGACAAGTTCATATGATTTCACTGAATAGCTTCTACCTCAGTGGCATATTGGGAAGATTGAGAAATATATATAAAATGCCTGGCACACTGTTCAGCTCATAGTAAGTGCTCAATAAATAGTAGATATTATTATTTTTAACTGAATTGATTTATTATTTTCAATATAAGTATCACACTCAAAATGCTATTTATTTATAAACTTATATATCAAAATTTAAGTTCAAGCCACCCAGTTCTAGAGTATAATGATAGGGGGCAAAGTAATTTTTCCTGTAAACATTTGCAAGGCAGTTATTGCTCACTAAACTGCATAAAAGGGTGAGAATACACTCTTTGACTGTTAGTGTCTGGCTTCATTCACTCACTGTAATGTTTCCAAGGTTCATCCATGTTGTAGCATGTATAAGCACTTCATTGCTTTTTCTTGCTGAATAATATTCTATTGTATAGATAGACAAAATTTTGTTTATTCATTTATCAGTAGATGGACATTTGAATTGTTTACACTTTTGGTCTATTATGAATAATCCTGCTGTGGATATTTGTGTACAGAAGAACACATTGTATGATTTCATTTATATGAAATGTCCAGATTAGGCAAATCCATGGAAGAGGAAGTAGATTAGTGGTTGTCAAGGTCTGAGGGAAGAAAAATGGGGGAGGCTGCTAAAGGGGTTTCTTGCTATGAACATATTAAAATAAAAACCACTGAGTTGTGCACTTTACAGGGATGAATTTTATGGTATGTGAATTGTATTTCATTACAGCTGGTATTGAAAAAATAGTGAGAAACACTTCATAACACATGTTCACCATGTAAAGAAAGAGCACCTGATGGTTTATTCAGTTTATTATCATAAAGAGAAGCATTCTGCCTTGAGAAAGGTTTTGCTTTTAATCTTCTATCATTTTAAGCGTAATGTGCTTCATTCTTATTCTGCTCAGCATTTATGATTGAAATTTGACCGTCAAATTATTCTAAGAGCTGAGCTGAGTTTTAAAAAGTTGTAGAGACAATGGAAAAAAAAAAAAAGCAGATATAATTCAAAGCTAGCAGAATTATACCAGTATCAAAAATGCAATGAAATTAACCAAGAAAGTGGCTCAATTAAGAATCCAGGGGCCCAAGTCCAAATCTCCTGAAAGGATATTTTGCAATTCATACACAGGAAAAATTAGAGTGGATTATTTGCAGTTTGCATCTGTGAGATTTAGTGTAATTGAAATGTGCTATAATTTTCAGGAACAGTAATGAATTAATGTTACATGGTCTATAGCTTGTAATTAATGTGTGTTGTTGTAAAGATGACAGTAATGATGTTTTAAATATCCTAGTGCTCATTGGATTTCATTTTTGCAGGCAGTTTGCAGCTCCCGAGTAAAGCATTTATATTCAATTACAGAGACTGATAAATGGGCTTCTTTTCCCATTTCTAATCAATACAAAGCATTAATGGAGCTTTCTGATGGCCACTTGTAGGGAGTAAAAATTACAGCTACATTTCTTTCAAAACCAGCAGCATCTCCTTCCAGCAGCTGTTTATATACTTTCTTCTACTTCTTTGACTTCAGATGACACAACCTTGCCATCCACTACTTCTTGTACGACTGTCTTAATTTTCCTGGTTTTCTTTATATCTGGATTTAAATTTAAAGATAAAATGTTAATTCAGATACATACCTCTGCTGGTGTTTGTAATATTCAATTTTATTATTATTTTGTACATATCTTCTTATTTTAGAAAAAAGTTGAACCCATTCTCTTTCTTAAGTGATCTTAAGTCCATTTTATAAATGAATGCAGAAAATGTGCCACCTTCTGCAAATTTACAATTTTGAATTAAGTAAAATGTACTTTCTCATCTTATTTTCCCTTTCAGGATCGCAGGATGTCTCAGGACAGCAATAGCATGGGCCAAGAAAATCATCTTGTCATAGGAATATGACAGTTCCCATGTGGAGGGTTTCTTTATGTGATGTGCCTGAGTTTCAGAATCCCTCGGGTAATACCCACTCATGTGGGAACTGATCTCCCTTTACTTTTCACCAGTGGCAGGTATTAAGTGGTAAACTGCTGAGGGAGGATATAATCTTACAGGAAATGTATGAAAACCAGAACACTTACTTCTCTCTTCCAGGGTGCTTAACTGATATTCTGTAGTTCTGTTTTTTTTTTTTAAGAAGAGGAAAAGAAATAGAAAAAAGTGTTATTAACATTTCGAAAACTGAAGCACTGTTCTGCCTTTTTGTTTCAAAATAGTCTAAGTGATATGTGTTATAAAGCTGTTTGTATTTTTTTCCCCTTTTACAGTGCTTGTTATTTCAAACTTGAATATCTTACTTTTTAACTTGAAAAACACATAGCTTCAAAATCTGTTTAACATACGCTAGTTTTTGTAATCGAATTACAAAATCACAATTAAGTTATAGTTAAATTTATGAAATTACAATGGAAGTTTAAATCTTGTGTTTTCTTCTGTGCTTTCTTGGGTGTGGTATTTGAAGTCAATTACTGTTCCAACACTGAAGATTCTCAGACTGGTTCCACAGACCTCTGGGGCCTGTGTTCAATTCATGATCTCTCAGTGAGAATTTTAGAAAGTTGTTGTGCTTTCAATTATGTATTAATTGTAAAAATTAACCTAAGCATAATTTGTATCATCTGTACAACAATCTTGTAACTCAGCCCATGACCTCATGCACTTGGCTGAACTTGGTGTTTTTGGGGTGTGTATGACTTTTGATATATTTTTGTTTGGATAATGGTTGTGTGTGTGTGTGTGTAATTGCTTTTGTGCTAGGGATTGATTGCATTGGTGCTGGGGAATGAGTGATAGAATTTAACGTGTAGACGTTAAAGTAGCACAGCCTATAGACTTTGACTTATATCCCTTGATGTTAAGAGGCTTACTTTTCATCTTCTCCTTCCAGAAGGCGGCGGTAAGTAGCAATTTCCTGCTCAAGCCGAGTCTTTATGTCAAGGAGAATATTGTATTCGTTGTTCTGGCGTTCAGTATCAGTCCAAATCTTCATCAGCTGGGACTCTAGGGAATTTAGCAGGGCCTGGATGGTGGCCAGCTGGCTTCCATACCGAGCTTTGGTATCCTCTAGTGTTTGCTCCAAAGATTCTTTCTGTGAGCACACACACAAAAAAAGTGGACATTTCTTGTTTGAGGGCTTGATTCAAGAGGTGGCTCAAGTTTTATTTCTTTTGAGAAGAACTCCTGCAGCTAGTCATTGTGGGCGCATGCATATTTCCAGCCTTGCCTGTCACTCTTTCCATCTGGGCATCCCCAGCCAGCTGCTTAGTCAGTAGCTCTTGGGGTCTTTTGTTTGCTGGTTTAAATTAAGCTTTGCACTTAACTGTTCTCTTAGTATGGTGCAGTGTATTATCATTCCCAATATTTGCTTCCCCTCCCTGCAATTAGTGGTGTCCCTCCATGTGGAGGACTAGATTTCTTCATCCCGTTGGTGCCAGGCTTGGTCATGTGACTTTGGCTAATGAAATGCAGGTGAAATTGACACATGTCTTTTCTGAGAAGCTTTAAGAGCTTCACGTGGTCTGCCATGGCTCTTTTGTTTGTGCCGCTGGTGTGCCCCAGCTGGGGTTCACTCCTTTGGCCTTACCCCTGGAGTGGAAATGTCGTGGAGCAGCGCTGCGGCTAACCTGTGATGGATGTAGTGTTGCAAGCCACTGTGATTTGGGGGTTGTTACCACAGCATAATTTATCATGAGCTGACTGATTTCCTTAGCCTGGAATGTCTTTACCCCGGTTCTCCAGCTTAAAAAGTTTATCTCAGGTGTTCAGATCTAGAGTAAATGCCACTTCCCCTGTGAGGCCTTCCAGATCTCCTTTTTCCTCTGTATCTTTGCAATACATTGCCCTTTACCTTGTTCTTACTGTCTTTTAATTATAATCAGTTGTTTGGCCTGTTTTTCTGCCAGCTGTGCAGGGGAAGAGGGTTAATTCTTGTAAGTCTTTGCATTTCCAGAGTTCTTTATATGGGCACTTAGTAAACACACACTACGCTGAGAGTTGAGGGTTAGATGTGCTTTACCATATTGAGATGGGACTGGAGGTCTATCTCCAGGCTCGTGTAGGTGCGCCTCAGCTCCTTTATTTGAGTCTCAGTTCCTTTTAACTCTTCAGTGCTCACTATGACTTGTTGCTGCAGAGTTTGAGTCTAGAGGTCCCAAAATGAAAACAAAACAAAACAAAACAAAACAAAAATGTAAGTAAGGAGAGAAAGAAAGAAGAAAATAAGGAAAGAAAATGGGTTTTTCTCTTTTTGGAGGGCAGCTACACATTGCTTACTCTTTAGAATTAGTGCTGTTACCTGCGTCTCGAACTGTTCTTTGGCCTTCTGGAGGTTCTCCTGGGCCAAGGCTTCATATTTCTGCCTCATTTCATTCATGATGCTGCTGAGGTTCTGGCCTGGAGCAGCGTCCACCTCTACGTTGACAGTGTTGCCCAGCTGTCTGCGTAGGATGTCCACCTCCTACGAGAGTGAAAATCATGATTGGTTATAGTCTGAAGCACATTCTCAGCTGAGGCTGTGCAGAAAAGACATAATAAGTCTTATGGCTTCCTTCACTGGGAATGAATAAAAAAAGAAAGGAAACAATAGCTCAGGGCTTGTTACAGTCCATGTGCTGCTCTCAGGCATTTAATGCTCACAGTGGCCTTATAAAGAGAAGCTAAGGCTTACGTCATTCTTGCTGCCGTCTTCTTCGCCGTCACTATCACCACGAGCCCTTCCTCCTTCTCCTCGAGGTCCTCCTCATCCCCCTCCCGTTCACTGTTGGAGCTGTTCTGTCATTCCCAGTGCCACTTTTGAATATTTCCTCACCTCCTGATGTTCTTTCCTGAGGAGCTCCAGGTCCTTATTCAGTTCTGCAATTTGAGTTTCCAAGTCTGTTTTACTTAGGGTTAGATCACTGAAGACCTTTCTCAGGCCTTGGATGTCAGCCTCCACGGCTAGGCGCAGCCCTCTCTCCGTCTCATACCTGTGAGTCAATTAGTATGCAGAGATCATTGAGCCCTTCTGAGTATGTTATAGAAGAGATCATCTAACTTAATGAGATAGGTTTTTTATGTGGTATATGAAGATACCAATTTCAGTACATTACTGTGTCCCTATTTGTACATCCCAAAAATGTTCAAGAGGGCCTAGGAATAAGATAATATGCTCCAGAATATAATCTCTGTGATTTATAGTGATTGATAAAAAAGCAATCTGAAGTAACTTTCAAAAGTCCCTAAATTCTAGAATATGTACTTTAAAAGAGGTAAAAAAATTTGCTTTAACTACTGCGTAAGCAAAAGGTTCTCATTATGCATATCAAATAATGGTCAGATTTACTTAATGAATGTACATGATCAACCTATTTTTATTTGTAAGCAGATGCGTCCAAAGTGATTTATCTTAAAAATTCATGCATTCTCCTTTACAGTTGTATATACCCATTTTTATTAAAGTAGCAAATTTTGAAAAATGATAATACAGTGGAACATGCAAATGCTGACTTAATAAAATTTGAAATAATGTACATTTACTTCTTTAATCTTCAGATCTGCTTTCCCATTTCCTTCTTTTGATCCTTTGTAGCATTCAAATGCTACCCTTCTAAACCACAAGGGACTTTTTAGTGCCCGTGCACTGCACACGTTCAGGACAAGGCAGCCCTAGTGTAGAAGCAGTTCACGAGGAACAACTGATCACACATCGTGTAACATGACCGTGAGAGTGAACACCTCTTAGTAAGAGGTTAAATAACTGCTTAGTGAGCAGTTTGAACTGCTTCAATCGTGGTCCTAGTTCTTTGGTCAGACAGACCATACTGTCAAACACTGGCAGGCTAGACAGCAGCGAGGGCCACCTTTTGTACTTTGGTCACACACTTGTAGACACTTGAAGGAACATGGATGACTCACTTGGAGAATTGCAGCCAAATAGCTCTTTGGATAACAGAGGGGCACTTACACAGAGTTGTAAATTGTCTTGTTATTACTCCAAAGGGCAGAGTTCCTTTCAGTGGGTGAAAAGGCAGATGCTAGGTTACTACAAAAGGACATTCTAGCAACGAGAGTTAACCAGTGAAAACTGTAGTAGTTTCTGGATGTGTTCACTTGCCTACTGGGTGACCAAACCTTAGGATGGTGGGAGAGGAAAGCCTAGCCCTGATTGCTGGACTAGACCAGATAGCTTCTAACACCCTTTAAATGCCGTAATTCTGAAAATATTTAATGGGAGCTCCTTTACCAACAGTAATGTGGAAAGCTGAGTGTCATGAAGGACTGCTAAAAGGAGTTCCTTTTCAGGAGGTTTTCCTGTGCTACTAGAGAACCTACTTCATTCTGAAGTCATCAGCAGCCAGCTTAGCATTATCAATTTGCAGGACACATCGACCTCTTTGCTGTTGAGCATCTATAATCTAGAACATATATGAGAAGGAATGATATTTTCAACTGGACAGGAGTTTGAAATGACTGAGTTTATCTTCGGCTAAAACCACTATTATATCGTTTAGTTTGTTCATTTCAGGAATTTCCATATGAAAATTACAAGAATAATGACATGGTATTTAACATTAATAGTCATAAAATGCAATTTCAGTTTCCAGGATTTAGTCAGCTCTTGTGATTTCACAAAAGAAGTTAATTCATCTCGAGCCATCCAACCTTTTTGAGTGCCTTGCCTTTGATATTGTTTCCTGCTTAGAATATTCCACTTAGCTCCTCTCCCTTGGTGAACTCTTCCTCCTCCTTCACGTCTCAGGTTAGACATCATTGCTTCAAGAGGCCTTCACTAATTTCCCTAAGACAGAACTGGATGCACCGCCTGTGTTCTCATTGCCCTACAAAGCCCTTCTTGCTAACATTTTCCCCATGTGTCTGTGTAAGTGCTGTCTTTGTCCATGCTCATACTTCCGTAAATCATGTCAATATTTACCATCATATTCCCCAGTGCCTAGCATGGTGTCCAGCACCTAGTTAGTGTCTACTAAATATTGACTGAATGAATGGACACCTTCCTGCTATGTGGTAGGAGTTGTGCTAAGAACTGGGGCTATCAAGATGGATAAGCCCCTGATCTTACTAAGACATTACCTAATGGGTCAGTTCTCCAAGATGCATATGAATCAGAAGTCTGCTTATAGAAGATGGTACAATGATGTATCTCTTTCAGCAGATCCAGTTCTGGAGAGAGCTGCCTTCCTTCATATACTGATTCTGCCCAGCTAAATGGAACAGATGGCTGTGCCTATATGTTTGGGATGGTCCCATAGATTCAGAAACCTGAGTCAAGAGACAGGTAAGGGGAGTGGTTGACTGGTTTTGGATGTTTTTAGTGGGAGCCTGAGAAAAACGACCTGTTGGCAGAAAGAGCAATTTAAATACCTTTGTGTCACATGCCTATAGTTCCTGAAACCCCAAAGTAACTTCCTGGGAATCTGAGGCAAATTGCACTGATGTCCAGTACAATGCGAAAAAAAGAGACTTGCTGGTAAGGAAGTAGTCTTTGCTCTAAAAGAATATGAATGTTAAAATAGAAATGAAAACAAAAGGGACACTTTTCTTGAATAGATAAAAATTTTAAAGCAGTGCAAGTTCTTGGTGTCCTATCTGAAATCTTCATTTGGGAGCAAAGTCTACTTCTAGTCGACACAGCTGATAAAACAGAGAACTCGACCTTTCCTGGATATCTGGGAGCAGGTTCTGATATGATTGCAACAAATCTGAATTGGGGGCAATAGAGCATTTTATTACTCAGAAGTAGTTTCTGAACTGCTTGTTGATGATGATCAGATTACTAAACAGGACATTTTGAAATGCAGATATCATCAATACCTATATCCTTTCCCCTCATTTCCACCCTGAATCACATTATCATTGAAATCTGTGTGCAGTAGTCTAATACTTGTATTACAACATTTATAGAAATGAAAGGAGGAAAATCTCAAATTGGTGTTTTGAAAGTTGATGGGAATTAGGTGAAAAAGTAAAGATGTATTATCACATACAAAATTTAGCTCTTTTCGGAAAAATGTTTACTATTTACTTAGTTTGTTCTGGTAAACAGACAAGAATACAGATGCTAACCCTGGAATATAAAATTTTTGTATTTTGTATGCAATTAGATTAAAAAAATTTTAAGTATGATTTACAATCATTCTATTATATAAGCAGGTACTCCAACACTAAAGCTAGATGATAAAATTGGCCATTTTTATAGATGTAGCATTTCAGCCTAATTTGCTTTACACTGTCCATTTGGACTCGCCTAAAGTATATGCCCTCTTGATACATCATGCAGCTAAACAGTGGAGTAGAAAACACAGGCATCATCCCTCACCTGATTTTGCAGCTCTGTGATTTGTTTGTGATACGCACTGTAGTCCCGACTGGCGCTAGGCACGTTTGTTTCATACCAGTGTTTGATCTGAGCTTCAAGTTTGGAGTTGGACTGCTCCAGGGACCGCACTTTTTCTAGGTAGCTTGCTAGGCGATCATTTAGGTTCTGCATGGTCATCTTCTCATTGCCAACAGACAGGTCCCCCCTGGTGAGATCGCTCCCGTAGCTCATCATGTGTCTGGAGGTTGAGATGCGGGTGCCATGGCCTCCGGCTCCACCATAGACGCTGGGTGCAGCCCCGAGGTGCTGCATGCCCCCTTTCCAAGGCAGGGAGCCGCTTGTAGAAGCTTCTGTGAGTGAATTCCATTGGAGATTCTGGGAGGGAGCACCTTTAGCTTCAGGATGGGTGGAGCAGAGTTCGTCTCTCGGTGGTGGATGAGCCTGACCTTTTATAGAATTCACAGGAAAGAAACTCCTCCTCTGCTGACATTTCACTGTATTTGACATCACAGTCCACCTTGCCTTGCCTTGCCTTTTTTTTTTCCTCCTTTGTGCAGCATCTGTTTAATCCCATTCCTGAAATTACCACTAGAGGCATTTCTTAGAGGCTTTCTTCAGGGGTGATATCTTTTTTTAAACAGATACAACAAAAGGAAACAGAAAGGTGTATTCTTTTAGCTCTTACACCTGCTTTGGCAGATTTTTTTCATCCTAATATACACATAAAGAATATTTGTTATCTCCATGAATAATTTAGTTACCTAAAAGAGAGATGTGAACACGTAATAGTAAATATACTGGTGATAAAGAACAGTGTTTAAAAAACCCTTTTAAATTTATCTCTTTCTTTTTGATGAGAACATTTAAGTTCTATTCTCTTTGTAAATTTCAATTACAAAGTAAGTGTTATCAGCTATAGTCACCTTTTTTTTACATTAGATCCTCAGACCTTATTCATCTTATTGCTGAAAGTTTATATCCTTTGCCAAACTCTCCCTGTTTCATCCGCTCCCAGCCCAGCCCCTGCCAACCACTGCTCCTATGAGTTTGACTTTTTTTCTCTAGCATTCCACATATAAGTGATTCTGTGCAGTGTTTGTCCTTCTCTGTCTGGCTTAATTCCACTTGGCATAATATCACTGAGGTCCATCCATGTTGTTACAAATGGCAAGATTTCCTTTTTCGTGACTGAATAATATTTCATCACATTTATCTGTATCTTCTTTATCCATTCATCCACTGATGGACAATTGGGTTTCCATGTCTTGGCTACCGTGAATAATGCTGTGATGAACATGGGAGAACAAGTATCTCATAAATATTGATTTCATCTTTTTTTATATATGCCCAGAAATGCATACCGCAGCTGAGTGGATGAGAGGCCTCTCTGCCTTCATATTGTATTTGTCTTCTTTGCTGCCTTTATTTTTGTGTCAGAAAGCTTCTGTTCAGATCGGAGACTGATGAGAATTAGGCTTGGGGTGGATTAATGATTGTGCATTGAGTCCCCTGTACAAAATTTTATTGTTGTGAACAACCATTTGATCAATAAATGTGAGAGATGCCTTCTCAGAAAAAAAAAAAGCTTCTGTTCAACTATGCAGCCCTGCACATAGGCTTGTTACTCATCAGAAGGAATCTTGCTCATGATTTACAATTGATGAAACCAGGCCCTTACGTAAAACTCACCTCTGCCAAGGAGATAAAGAAGTATGTTCAGAAATGATGACTGGATTGTCAAGTACTTACAGGAGTATCATGGCCTATGTCAGCAAAACGACAAGTCAGCTAACCAAGAACAAGGAGTTTCACAACCCTCTTCAGACCCTTGCTGATGTCCAGACGTCTGAGTCGATCGTCACCTTCTGGCCACACTCCCCTTGTTTTCCCCTTCCCTAATATAAAAGAAGCTCGAAATCAACCCTAAGTTAAGATGGTTCTTTAGGACATGAGTCTACCAACTTCTTGGTCTGATGGCTTTCCAAATATAGTTGCTTTCCTTGCCCCAACATCTTGTCTCCCAATTTATTGGCATGTTGTGCAGCAAGGGTGTGAGCTTGAACTCGGTAACAATATGGTAGTTCTATTTTTAAATTTTCAAGGAGCTTGCATTATGTTTTCCATAGTGGCTGCACCAATTTATGTTCCTGCCAATGGTGCACCAGGGTTCCCTTTTCTCCACATACTCACCACCATTTCTTTTGTCTTTTCCATGATAGCCATTCTAACAGTGTAAGGTGATAATCTCATTGTGGTTTTGGTTTGCGTATGAATAATGGCTTATACGTATTGTTAAAAACTCTTCAGAATCTCTGTTTCATGCTTCTTTTGTTTTTAAGTTTATCACTGTTTAGAGATTCTATTTTATAGGACTATTAAAATATTTTGTATAAACACAGAACCTTGAATATTTAAAACAGTAATGAAACACTTAAACATTTGGAGTTGTAGTTTGAGGAAGTGAATAAGTGAATGTAGGGGAGTGCTGAACAGATGGTTTTGAAGATGCTTTTCCCTGAATTCTAGTGTCTAAGACTAGATAATGTATTTAAATTTCTCTGTCACTGCCTGAAACTTAGAATAAATAGCAGATTATTTCACACCTGACCTGGTGCATGGAGTCATCTCTCTGCCCTGCTGCAAGGTCCCCTCAGCACCCAGAGTGAGACAGATGGCTCCAGCCATCCTGAGGCACACAGCTCCTGCCTCCTAGAGTCCCCGATGGATTTCACTGGCAGAAGCTTCCTCAGAAGCCTGATTTCCCCCGAAGGTCCTCGTACTCAGAGCAAGAGCAGAGCAATTCCAGGTCTAGGAAATGGGTGTGTGCAGAACTGGGACCGCATCCACCTCCGTGGTGGGGCTGCGGGCCTCCAGGGGTGTGCTGGCCTCCGGATACACGGTGAGCTGCGGGTGTGATCTCTGCCATGGGGGTCTGATAAACATTGTTGAACTAAGTGGAATTTATTCATTTGCTCTCTATCATTCAAACCCCCTGGCCAAAAACTCACTCCTATCCTGGACCACTTAAACTGTTTCTTTAATCAAGTTAAATCAAAGAAATTGGAAAAGTCTCCATTAATTCTCATCCTAACACCTCTTTAATTCTCATCCTGACACTTAAATTGAATTGAGATCCATAATATGATTAAAGCCAAACACTCAAACAAAAAACCCAAAGAGAAAAAAACTCAAAAAAACCACCCCTAAAATCCCTGCACATTCTTTCTAGTTGAAGAGTTTAGAATTTACTTGTTTTAGTAGCTCCACTGAAAACCAGTGGAGTTTTTACTTCTGGGTAAAAAAGTTTAATTTGTTTTTGTTTTTGTTTTTACAAACATTCTTCTAAAATACGATGACTATTATTTCTTACAAACAGTACACTACTTGGTATTAGACTTATATGATGAAAATAAAAATTGCGAGAGAGTTAAACTTAATTCATGCACTTCATGTGGACAGCTCTTATGTCTTTGTCCTTTAAATGCATCAGCCAATACTCACTGAGTCTTCCCACCAATAACTGAACCTGTAAGAAGCAGACCTTGCCATTAAATATTACAGAGCTGCAGGTATTTTGTAAATGGGTGTCACAGCTGAAACCTGAAGTAAGAACTTTTTATAAACATATGGACTGTGTTCTATATATGCATTCACAAAATTAATGTGGTTTTTGTTCTTTAATGGGGGAGCTGGAGGGTAAATCATTGGAAAATTGTACTGTTTGCACAAGTTTTGCAGTCAGTTCATTTCAGCTAGAGTTTCATACCCTAACACACATGTGATGGTATGTAAAAACATTATTTAAATCAAGATGTAGCTTTATAACTAGAAAGGAATATAAATCTACTTATTAAACATGATCATTTTTGTTCTCCTCTTTAGCACAGTTGTTCCTTGTGGCTAGACCCAATTACATTGAAGTGGAAAAGAGTTAAAACCTCATTAAAATGATGAAAGTAATTTTTAATTTTTTGGAGGAATAACTGCTTCTCCCCCAATTTTTGGCTAGTATTCATAGGTTTTTCAGATTTTGCATTTAAACCAAAATATGTTACAGTAGGGCTATTATTATGGGATTCAGTCATCCAATATATTCATTTGTTGAGTAAATACTCCACATGTTTATGTGAAGGCAGAAGGATTTGCCAGTTCCTCTATCACACTGAGCTTTACGGTTTGGTAGATTATTATATCTTGTAGTATGACCACAAAGATCAGGAGAGTATTTCACAGCAGTTAGTTTTTCTAAACTACACTTGAGGACTAGATACAGATCCTGTTGACTTTTTTAATTGAAGTATTGTTGATATCTTATATTGGTTTCAGGTATTCAACACAGAGGTTCAGCAGTTACCCAGATTATTAAACCCACACCTCCACTAGTGCAGGTAGGGCCTGTTGACTCTTGTTTATATACAAGTCATGAATTTGAAGCCCCTGATACTCTAGGTCATTGGGTAACTGCATCTGTATACATAAATGTGTATTAGATCACAGCTTCCTTTCTGCTAATAGGAGATGCATTTTGACCCCTGAGGCCGACTCTGCTGAGGGTGTTGATGATTAATATTAAATATGGCCAGTAGTTTGGAGAGTTGTAAGCACTGTAATTTTCAGAGGATTTTCAATTTTTGTTTTTCCCACAATGGGTAAGCTACTGTAGCCTCGACGTGATGCAAATAGAATCTGCAATCTCTGGGGAGCATGTCATGATGTGCTGCTCTGATTAGTTGAGAAGGATGACGTATAGGAGCTGTGGGTGTTTGTAGGCATTGTGCTTCTGGATACCACAGAAAGTTAAGTCCAAAAAAATCATGGCTTCTGTATTTTAAAAACTGGTGTACTTAACGAAATAGTTGCATGAAATGATATAATCTCTTCTAGTTGCTCCAAAATAATATGGGATGTAGAAGGAAGTTTGGTTCTGAGTTATTTGTTGAAGCTGGGAAATGGGTATATAGGGATTTATTATACTATTGTACTACCCTAAGTATTCTAGTATTTGTTTAAAAATTTCTATAATGAAACATGTCAAGGTGCTAATGTAGTAAACTTACGATACTGTATTTAACACAGTTGAGTGGGCATATTCAGGTTTTCATTTGTACTCATTTGGTAATTCTGCTCTGCTGTGCTTCAGTGAGTTGGCAGATTTGCTGTCTCAAAGTGGCTCACACCTAGTAGGCACTTTATATCTGCCTGCATATGAACAACAAATGAGTGAATGAATAAAAGTACTGAGGCCCAGCTTTGAGAAGAGAAACATTTGCCAGTGTGGGTGGTTCACCCTGCCTGCCTGCTGTTTCTGCCAGTCATGTTAGAGAGTAGAAGATTTGCAACTCAGGAGTTCAATGTCATGAGTGTCGCAGACTGGATACCCCTAATTCCTCTGCTCCTATTGCAGACCTATTATGAAAGGAAAGATTCCACAGAGATGGAAAAGGGAACAAAAACAGAAAACTTAGGAGAGAAGTAAGTAAGAAAGCTGCTTGCACCCTGTGGGTTTCTGCTCAATCATGGATATATTAAACTTCTTTCTGATGTCTTGTAAGGGTACAGAAGAGATCAGAGTCTAGGACCTGCCTAAGAGGGGAATGTTAACAGGAACTTCCACATAAACTTAGTATCTGAAGAACTATGCCTTCAGAGTAAGGGCACATGATAAACAAAGCCACCACACAGAAGGGTACAGTAAGAAAAATTTTCTGTTAACTGTGGTGCTTGGTGCAGAGGAAAAACAAACCTTCCTTGAGATCAGTGACACTCTCAGCCAACTGGCAGCAGGAAGCTCAAATCCTCTCTAAAGTAATGCAATGCAACTCCAACCTGGTTCCAAAGAATCCCTACAGATAAAACTGTGCGGAATATGAGCCCACCAATGAACAGTGGGATTGGACCTACCAAGACTTCAGCTGTGGAATTATTGGAAGAAGAACATAATATACCCATATTAAATTGTTTTTTTTAACAGTGAAAAGATAGACTTGGAAATTGGAGCAAGTACTAAGAGATTATAAAATTTACCAAGAAGATTTGAAAATAACCTAAGAGAAATAACTATATAATTAAAATGAAAAGTTCAGGGGATGGGTTTAATGATGGATTAAGCAAAGCTAAAGGGAGAATTACTGAACCAAAAGTTATCTCTGAAGACATTATCCAGAATGCAGCTAAGTGACGAAGAGGAGTCAGGAGACATGAAGGCTAAAGTATCAGGAGATCTAAATTAGTCTCATCAGAGTTCCTGAAGGAGACGGGGGAGAATGGGAAAAGAAGACATTTAATGAGATAAGAAGTGAAAGTTTCTAGAATTGTTTGAAGAAACAACCTCTCAGGTTAAAGGAACCTAATAAATTCTAGGCTAAATGAATGAAAATAAGTTACATTTATATGCACCAGAGCAGAAAGCCAAATAATAATGAGAAGATATTATAAGCAATTACTTCTAAGCAGGAAGTACTTATTGCCACAAGAGACCATCAGCAAAGGAATGGTGACTAAACTGATGACTGACTCCTCCGGAACAGCAGTGGACACCGGAAATGAAACAGTGTCTTCAGTGGACGGAGAGAAAATAACTGCCATTGTGGAATTTTCCTACTCAGTGTTGAGAATGGGTAAAATAAAGACATTTTCAGGATAACAAATTGAGTTTGCCATCAGCAGGCTTTTCACCAAATGCAGTCTGAAAGAATGTATTTTAGGTAGAAGGAAGATGATTGCAGATGGAAGATCTGAGATGAAGAAAAGGATGATGAACAAATAAAGTGCTAAATATGTGACAAAATTGAAATGAATATTGGCTATAAAATAATACATGTATTGTGGAGGAAAAACAATATAGAATTAAAGTAGATGAAAGCTGGAAGGGGATGATAGCATTGAGTTGTTCTAATGTCCCTTATAACTTAGGAAAAGGGTAAAGATAGAGATTAAGTTGAGACACAGACAAGTTGAGAATGCATATTACACTTTCTAATTTTATAGTTTTTCCCTTCATAGGATGAGTAATGGTTCCTGCACTGATCTGCAAATAAACCAGTGAATCAGCGCAAAATGCTCAGAAACAGATGTATTGTATATGGAAACATAATTTCCAACTGCTTTGACATTACAAATAAGTATGGAAAGGTATAGAGTATTTACATATTTAAAAAGTGAAAATTGCAACTTAGCAAAATATACTATAATTACAAAAATGCATTTCAGTTCATTAAAGATGTACATGTGAAATGTAAAAGCTGTACAATGTTTAGAAGAAAATACAGAATAATATCTCCTGGATTCAGAGTAAAGTAGTATATCTTAAACAAGATGCAAAAAGTGCATACTAGGAAGTACAAAATTGATACTAACTTAGCAATTTTTGTACATTAAAGGACACTATAGTTATAATGGAAAAAGCCCCATAGAGCAGATATTTATAATACATGTAACTGACAAGGAGTTAGTTTCTAGAATATGAAAAGAATGCCTGCAAACCAATAAGAAAAAGAAAACCCCGTGAGAAACCAGGCAAAAATATGAACAGACTTGCACAGAAGAAGAAAAACTGAACAGCCCGTTTTACACCTGCCACCTGGGATAAGTTGAAAAGTTGGATGATACCAGTTGTTGCTGAAGGAAATTCTCATCCACTGAGAGTGGCTGTGTAAATAGGTACAATTACTTTGGAAAACAGTTTGACATTATCTCAAAAAAGGTGAATGTGCATATACCTAACATTAAATAATTCCATTCCCAGGAATATATTCCAGAGAAACTTACACATGTTTATTTGAAGACATGTAAAAGAACATTATTTAGGATGAAAAATTTTCCTGTGCTTTCAAGATTCTTCTAGCCGGTCAGAGAACTAAGCTGATGAGAGAGAAAAACAGGAGAAAAACCCTGAATTTTAATTATATGCACATGGAATCCCAATAATGAAATTGAGACTCAAA